CAGCTAGTGATGAGGTGAGGAGGTCCCGTGGGTGGGGCTGGGTGGGTGGAGTCGATGATGGTCCCTCGGAGTGTGTGTTAGATGAGGTGTCATGTGACTATCATGTGATTAATAACGGAATACAGGAACAACTGGACATGAAACTGAAAGAATTGAAAAATCTAATAAACAAGTCATCAAAATGAAGCTATAATTTTTTATAATTAATTTTGCAAAGCCATAGATAGATTTATAAATTTTTGTAATTTTTATAAAGTGAAAAATTGAAAATTTTTTATGCGTGGGTGGAAGGAAGCCTATGATTTTTGAAATAGTTTTCGAGCGAGGGCGTGACAATTATGTTGAAAAGAAAGAGAGAGACACTAAAGGCGAAAGTAACAAGGAGACGAAGCGCTATGAAGATGACACTTGTGGATCTGCATGTCTCGGTAAGCCTAACCATAACCTTTCTCTTGGCAAGGCAAATTTTTGAAAAAGTGGGATGCCTAACTACAGGGAACAGACCTGATACCTTAGGATTTAGGCTGCCGGTATATAAATGTATATAATCAGCTAAATTGATGTCTATTAGCAATGTAATTAAAGCAATTGTAAAAGTGTGACTAATATACTTATTCACAAACACAACTGATTATCATTTCATGCATTTATGATAATTGAAGCATTCCGGTGCTAGGTCAAAATGTACTGAATGTCTTGATGATTGTTAAAATAGTTATACGTGTATGTATTAGCATAAACTCAAAATGACCTTAAAATGTTAGTTACACCAAAGCTGTTGAGGCTCACAGTAGGAATTCAAGTTTGGATTTTCATATTGTAAAAAATAAGGAAGACCCTGGTGTGGCATTAATTTCATTTTTTGCATTTCTGGGACTTTACCTAAAATTAATTAATGCAAATTAAATGATCTTAAAATTATAGACGCAGGGTAAATCAGATAATAATAATTAAGTATAATAATTGGTTAGTTCTTTGCCTCTACTTCAATTCTTTTATTATTCTAGATATCGATGACTTGCATAATATTTTGGATGAGCTAAAAACATTTTCTATGCGTAATTGGAGACAATTTGGATTGAGTGCTGGCCTTTCTAACACCACACTTGATAACATAGAAGTTAACAAAGCTAATGTTCAGGATCGTTTTATGGAGTGTTTGGCTTGCTGGCTGAGGAGAGAGGATAATGTTAATAAACATGGAAAGCCATCATGGAGGAGATTAGCTGAGATATTAGAAAAAATTGGAGAACGAACCTTGGAAAGTAAAATCGAAGCTCAAATTAGAGGCATAAAAGGTAGATTACTGTATACCAGTTTATTTTCGTGGTGAAATATTTTGCAGATTTTGCGGTTTGTGATCAGTCACGAAATTTTTTCACCGTAAAATTTTACTCTCCATTGCCACGTGGTGCAGTCTGCAAGCAATTTGCGAAAATTAATTCTGCGAAATTTTAGGAATGCAAGATTTGCGAAAATTTTCCACCGCGAAAATAAACCAGTATACGGTATATAATTGAAGTTTTTAATATTAATTTTAATTTTTAGAATTTAGTAATGAAATTTCAAGTAGAGATCCCAGCGAGACTCCTCAAAGCTGTATTTCTGACACTGAAACTTGTGAGTATGGTTTTGTTATGTCTTCAGTAGTTTCATTAGTTTTTTGTATAGTCAATGATGATGACTAGGAATATACTGAAATGCAGCAGCAGTTATCTCAAGTTTTAGCACTTGTTATCAGGACAATGCCTTTAGCAGATATAGAGATGCAACTTGCGTCATGGCTAGCAATTGAGAAAATTAGTGAAGGACGCTATCCAGCAATGTTCTTACTGAAAAGTTATTTTTCATTGTCAAATTTTGCTGCATTAAAAGACTTTGTTCAACATTGCAGAATCAATGATAGTGCTAGAAAGAAATTAAATAAGCTTTTACAGGGTCTTAGCCTGAGACGAAATAGGTTTTATGAGAAAGTTTTAGCAAAGGATTTTGCCAAAGATGATCACAAAATGTTTGACAGTATGAATTCAATCGTTAGTCAATTTCAATATGTTTGCATTATTATGTGTAATTATTTTGTTAGATCACTTTCAAAGTTTCTTGGAATGAAGATGAAACAACATTAAAGGATTTTGATGACTTTCTTTCAACAGATTTCAAGAGTAATGGAAAGTACATAAGATTAAGAGTATTGCACCAGAGGGATCAGAGCCCACTGAAGTTTGAATGTTCAATGCCGAATTGCCTGAAAGAAGAAATTAAAGAATGTGTGACTAAAAAGAAAGATCAATTAATACTTAAAGGAATTGTTGAAGTAATCATTGACAGAGATGTTATGTTCAATGTGGTATGTGAAAATGCAGTGACAATTAATATACATTTTTAATTGAAGGAAGGAGGTTATGCAGCTGTTATTTTCTATGAACCAAATGATAATATGATGAAATTTACTGCTGTACGTTCTATTCAGCTACCTGCTTTACTTAAGGTAAAGTGATAAGTATAATAAAACTTTATAGCTATCTTTTTAATAGTGTATTAGGGAATGTTGTCCATATTCTGAAGTGGGTTTGATTCATTATTTTCATTTTGAATCATCAGACCCTATTGAGTTGATCTTTTACCAGAAGCCACCAACTGGCTGGATTATTAAACCAAAAAATACTAAAGTGAGTATATTGGCCCATAAGTATATAATTTGTTATTGTATTTATTTAGTTAATGCAAACTGATATTGATGAATTTAATGGCACTGATTTTTCCCTTCACCCACGCTGTCCAGTATTGGTTTGTGGATCATGTACTCCTAATACTGAGCCTCTCCTATACTTCCCTATTACTCTAAGAGGTATAAAGTGTGGCCCTGTAACACTTTATATTCACAGGACTCTTGAGTCCACCGTTCCCAAAAGTATGCCAAAATTAATGACTATAGTTTTATTATGCTTATAGTTACTCCTTATACTGGACTTGTTTATTGTGAAAGGAAAGAAGATAACAGATATATAATGGGATTTGTAGCTGCAATTGAAACAAATTTTGAAAGTATCATTGATGTAAGAATAATTCATTTGTTATTTGATGTAACTCTTATAATGCAGTATAATAAAGATTGTCATTGCATTATAAAACTTGTGAATTTTGATTTCGATCCGAATTCTGACTATATCATCAAGCTTAATTTAAAGGAGACATCATCCAGTAATTGGATTGCTGAACCTCAATCATATGAAGTAATGTTCATTGTGTTTTTAACAAGCCTTATGACATGTATATTTACACTTCACAGTTGCCTAAAAATGAGTTTGATAAAGCCTCACACAGCCCCTCTGTCTTGTACGATATCAATTTGCAGACCACCTGATGCTGCTCAGTCTGTACAATACTCTTTATCACTGGAGGGTTTGACTGATCCTGTTAGTATTAAATTTAAACTTGACCAAACATTACATGGTAAATAGTATTGATACAGTTACTTTATGTGTGTTTGTACATAATTTATTATGATTTGCAGATGTAAATTCATACATTGGATTGGTTTATTATGAATGGAAAGAAACTGAATATTTAATGACATTTGTTGCTGGAAAAAAATTATCCAAACTGGTTCAAGTAAAACATTAATACATAATGACTTTACATAGATTTTAATAGTATATTAAAAATTATAATGAGCTAGCAGAGATCAGTGATGTATTTACTTTTTCTTTTGGCTCACCTCATGGTTCTATTGAGTTAAAATTTGATGATGAACAATGTAAAGGAAAAGGATGGACTGTACAACCATTAGTTGTCCCATGCAGGGTGGGTATATATTATATATATATATATATATATATATTTACTGTGTACCAGTTTGTTTTTGTAAATTTTATGGGTTTTGCTCTGTTACCAAATTTTGTATCCCAATTTCTACGTGGTGCAGTCTGCAACCTATTTGTGAAAATTTATTCTGCGAAATCTTGTAAATGCAGGATTTGCAAAAAATTCACAGCAAAAAATATACCAGTACACAGTACATGATTATAATATTATTATTAATTATTGCTAGCTATATCAAGATGTCATTGATGAAGCTACTTATCCTGTTCCTCCATCTTGTCTTATATCCATTTTTCCGTCACCTGATGCTGTTCCTACACTACATTACTCAGTACCACTGGTGGGTGTGGCTGAACCTGTTACACTATCTATTGATAGAAAATTTCACCCAGAAAGTAAATGGTTGGAGTCATTATTTGTATTTTATGTAAATATTTTTAGATCTCATCGCCAGTACAGCAGCAATGCAGAAATTACATGAATCACTTGAGAAACAGAAAATGCTACCTGAAGGTACTTAACTATTTAATTTCTATTTATAAATAATATTTGCATGCACTTGATACCCATGCACTCACGTCACTGCTGTATGTGAAGAAACAATGAATTTAAAAGTAATCTGGACCTTGCTATTTGTACCATTTTGTAGAACTTAAGTCTGAACTTCAGGGAACTAAAGCTGGTGATTGGCATAGTGTAGTTGGTAATTATATAATGGAAAAGAATGAACAAAATGAGGAAGAGAAGAAGAGATTAGAGAAACAATATCTCAAGGAGAAACAGCTTACTAAAGGTTAGAGTATTGTTATCAATGTGTATATTATATGAGAGAATATTTAGAACTGAAAGCTAAAGTTGCTGATAATGAATTGTATATGGCCAAACTAATGAAGGAGAGGGAGCAATGGAGCCAAATCAAGGAGACTAGTTCTATTGGAGTACAATTTAACTACCTGATCCCTTCAATGGGTAAGGGTATCAGGGCGGGTTTACAAGGCTATGTCCCAACTGAGTTTGCATCAGCCACTTCGAATTTGAAAAATGTAGAAGACGTCAGTGATGACGTCTTATAATGATATTCATAGAAGCATGGCCGACATTTTACAGCTGCGTTGTTAGCCTGTATTGCACTCTTAAATGGGTTTTGTTTGTTCTGATAAGCAGTACAATAGCTGCTGGAGTTAACTAGTCTTTATACATGTAATCATTATCAGAAGATCTTGCTCTGTTAGCTTTTAAAAAGAAGAATTATCAGTTTGGGCGCTCGACCACATGTTCTTATGTAAACTATGACGTAGATAAATTGTCATAAAACTAAAACGTCATTTTGTATGCCATTGGGTTTATAGGGAAGACCCCGGTTCTCAGGGTTCCCAAGGGCTGAGAGACCCAATACCTGAGATCCTGTGATGGCA